AGTAACTTCAACGGTTCTTTTTTTCCACGAACGATCTAAAATTTGAAACCGTAAGAACTGTTACTTACGGATACTACACTTGACCGTTGATTCTGCAACTGAAGTGCGGGTACACTAATTTACACAGTAAACGGAGCCAATCGATTTTGCAGATGCAACTGAGGGGGTAACAAAAGGAGCGTCGTCTCAGGAGACGTAATTTAGTTTTTGCTGAATTATTTGTATTCTAACCCTACCCTTATACCTGCAGGGACCACCGTAGCAGGAAAAACAATTAAAGGGGTTGAGGGCTCTGGCAGCAAGACTGCCGAGGTAAACAACCCTGAGTTGCTTGTGTCCCCAGCGTACGACCCATGGAGTTGCGGGGAATGGGCTAAACCAGCACTTACTTTGGGTCAAATTGCTGCGTGGTTTGGGTGGATCTTCCATTTTGAGTCATGCTTCTGAATTGCTGGTAATCAATCTTCCATATTGTGTCATTCTTCCAGATTAAGTCACTTGGTACTAATATCTACGTGTTTTTGCGTATAGCCTTCCAGATTGTGTCATTCTTCCACATTCAGTCATTCTTCTATTTTCAGTCATTCTTCCAAAAGATATCATTTGGAACCTGACAAACAGGTATTCCCGCAACTCCGTCGGGCCACAAACGCACCCAACCATTAAGGCCCTCCTCCTCTGCAACCCTTCCCCTCCATAGACCCCTCTAACCCATAGTAACTCTCTTCACCACAAGGATCAACGGTTGGAAATCGCAAGTGAGAAAGCATTGTCATTATTGTTGGAGAGGATCTCGAGCTAATGAAAATAGTGCAGAAAGAGCTCGGGGAAAAAAGCATTCTGTGGCTCTCCCACCACTCAGCATCAGCCATACTCGAGTAACGGCACTCGTTTGAATCAATAAAATCGAAGTTGCGTGTACTAGTACTAGTACCACCACCACCACTCATCAAGGATCAAGCAAGCAAAGTGACACAGCCATGTTCTTGTAAAGTACAGTAATAACTGGAGGGTCGTTTGCTCAGGAGAGGCTTTTGAGGGGATGCAACCAACAGATCGATAGATTGATCATGCCAGTGCAGCTTCCGAGTATAATGATCTACAGACCAAGTCTCAAGGTTCCTGGAAATTAGGAACAATGTATTAGTACTAGCTAGCTAGTGGGCGAAAGCTTGAAGTAGCTGGATAGAGTAACATGTAAATAATATTTTTGTCACTATATAAGCAATACAACTTATCAAGTACCTTACAAACCAGCCAAGATGTCCAGCTAAGGTATCAAGTTGATGGGCATTAGTGCTCCTCCCAAACCCTTCGTGTACTTTTTGTAGTCTTGAGGAGGGAGGTGAGGGTATGCAGCTAAAGAAAATGTGCTGCTTAGAATGCTCCGGCCTCAGCCAGCTCCAAGTCTCCAGCAGCCATGACGTCATAGACACACTGGTCCTTCAGGTCCCCCCAATGCTCACAGGCCTTCTCGGCAGCAGCCTCGGCAATGGATTCACCAAGTCCACGACGACCAACCCTCTCGCTACTCGGCATAGTGCACTGCACCGGCCGCTGGGGGACCCGCTGAGTTTGGAAAAGCTTGGGTTCCGACTCAAGAACTTGCCATTCCATTCCAAAGTCATCGGCATTGGACATGACTGTTCCATTGCGGGCAAGCCACTTGCCAGAACCAAATTCTCCCAAAAGACCCATGCTATCGCCGTATTCCTCAAAGCCGGCACCCACCGTCTTGACGCTGACAAGGTCCTTGAAGGACTGGACCACAATTTGCTTGCCTTCTCCAAGTTCAATCGTGAAAACATCCTGCTTGGGGCTGACCTTTTCATGAGTGACAGTGTACTTATCCATCTTTTCCAGCTCAGCATTGGAGATTCCATTCAGCATGTATCCACCGAAGGCACCAACCTCCAAGATGTCAATTCCGATTTGGACAGCAGCGGACTCAATGAAGGAGTACTGGTAGCGGGCCTTGGTTCGAATGTGGATCTCCAATCCAGTTCCTTGTGAGAACTTTGGGTTACTGATGAAGACCAAATCACATGCTCCATGGAAATCATACCACTTGTTTGCCCAGGTCTTGAAGTGGGGGTCACCAGTCCCAGCTCCATCACCACAAGGGGTGAGAATCACAGCCCATTGATTTAGTGCATCAGAAACGAAAGAGTTCCTGGAATCCGGAATCAGTTGCCAGGTGCCTTGTGAAGGTTCGCCATTGAGACTGGCAAAGTTTTCGAATGGTTGAACAGCAGATCCATCAGTCGAATCAACCGAACTGCAGTCAATTGGATTGGTGCTGGCATCATCATCGAAAACTACATGTAGATTTGTAGATCCAATTACACCAAAAGGACATTCGAAGTCCAAAAGAGTAATTGAGCGTCCGCCAACAGAGACACTGATCTGTGGATCAATAGTGTAGCCAAAATTTCTCATATTGATTTCAACATCAACATCACAAATGGCAAAGTTGTCGTTGACCACAATGGTGTCACTGCCACCATTAGCATCATACCGAACAGCAAGAGTGTGAGGCACAACAGCACCAAAGATAAGGGCAGTCAAGAGAATTTTGGAGGACAACATGGCTTCAAGTTCTTGAGAGGGGTGGATGCTGAAAAATAGTGAGAGGAAAACCGGGAAAACGGGAGTTTTGTAAAAGCGCGATCCAGTCACTAATAGCTAATATAATAGTAATCGAGCGTCTTTTGTGGGTGATTCCAAAGCCTTATCATACTACTCAAGAATTGGAGATGGCACGGAATACTGGAACACTCACAATAAAGTAGGATTTTTGGGGTAACTAGATCTAATGTTGTATGCATTGTAGATTACAACAGAAGCCAGCCAAAGACAGGCTATTATTTTATTTAGGAAGAGTTGAGTCTCGAGTTGAGTCGAGTTGAAATTTTTGTTCAGGACATAGTTTTATTGCTTTGCGCGAGAGAGCTCGCGAGAGTAAACCATTATCCTACTAGGGACTCATTGGATCACTGCTGTATTTTAAAAAAATGTATTTAAAATACTACCAACAGGTTCCGCTGCTCATGAGATTGACAAACTAACTGAGAATGGGCTCTCTCTAATCCATAGTAATTCCCGGGGCTGCATAGTACTAGTGGCACACTCCTCTACCTAGCTATAACGCGATAAGCATTCCGCCCGAAAAGTACGATCGCAAGGTTGGAACTCAAAGGAAATAGTACTCCAGTTGGCAGTACGTATGATACCTGGTAGACTAAAATTTTTAAATGTAATAAGTAAGCGCACGATACCACTAGGGACTCCGCATAAAGGTACATGCACCAGTAGATTCATACAGGTCCACTAGACCTTGGTTGGTATTTACTGTTTACTGATTACTGACTGGAGGGGCCAAACAGTAGCAGTAATGGCAGTAATGCAGTAATTCCTCAGTAGCAGTAATCAGGTACAGTAATTTAAAGCCATTTGAAGGCAGTAAATCACAGTAATTGCAGTAAAATAGGGTGAATACTGTGCTTTTACTGTCATTTACTGTCAATTACTGTTGAATTGGCAGATTTATTACTGCCAGGAATTACTGACTGCAGTAACTACTGGCCAATAAAGGCAGTAAAAGTACAGTAAGTAACCAGTAACCGGGAATAACTGCAGTAATTACCCACCAAGCACTAGACTACTCGGGAAAAGAAATGCAAAGTCAAGTCCTTCGATCAACTTCGCAAGAGACAGCTGCAAATGCTGCATGCAGCTTTTCGCTTTGAGGCTCCGCTGCAGAGCCGTCTCTTCATGAAGGAATGTGCCGTAGCGTGGAATGATGCCGTGGAAACCATACAGCTAGCTAGTGTGCGTCTCAAACTTTGTGCAGGACACGTCAGATCGACTTCCAAGAAGATCCCAAAACTACTGCCACCACTCGCTCCATCAACGGTTGGAAATTGCAGTGACACAGCGATGTCTAGCTAGCTATCTCCAGTAGATGTCTTTGTCGGAAGATAAAAGCATTCTGTGGCTCTCTGATGATCCGCATCAGCCATAATCAGTAGAGTACCAAAAATCAATCCAATCAATCAATCCAGTCCATCCATCATGCCCGTAACCATCAGCATCTCTGATACGTTTGATGGTGGCAACATCAAGTTTGTGGAGCAACGAGTGAATCCCGACGATGCGAGTGTCATTGACGTGATTGCCCACATCAAGCCGGATGTGTATACGGAACTGGAGGAAATGGCGCACATGCAGTACTTTGCCTTTCGCGTCACTCTGGGTGGATTATTATCACTTGAGCAAGAAGAACAAAAGGTGAATTACATTCTCGCCAATGCCCAAGACGTGTCGTACCCCGAAGCGTGGAGTGGTACTACCGTGTTTTATGGCTCCGACTTGGACGATGTCGACGGCTGGAAACGCAATCTCACGACGCACTACGGCGATGGCAAACTCAGTTGGCAACAGACTCACACACGCAATGGCAGTCTGTACTTTTCCTATTTCCCACCTTTCTCGTATGCACGCCACTTGAAATTGATCAGTCAGTGTACACCACACGCTCAAGTGGGAACTCTGGGTCAGTCATTGGAGGGTCGAGAAATGGAATTCATTACCATTGGAAGTGGCAGTTTGACGTGTTGGATCATTCATCGACAGCACCCCGGAGAAACCATGGCCGAACATTACGCCGAAGGATTGTTGCATCGATTGTTGGGGATTCCCACTAATGGTGATACCACTGGTGACAAGGTGGTGCAAGAGGCACTCCAGAAATTCACCTTTTACATTGTCCCGTGCATGTGTCCCGATGGATCCGTCAAGGGACATTTGCGGACCAATGCGTGTGGTGCCAACCTCAATCGGGAATGGGCCACTGTCAAGCCGGGATACACGGCGCCTTCCTTGGAACGGTCCCCGGAAGTCTATCATGTGCTCCATAAAATGGATGAGACTGGTGTTGATGTCTGTATAGATGTTCATGTAAGTGCGTGCGTAGTGATGGATGGATGGATGGATGGATGGATGGATGGATGGATGGATGGATGAAAAAGAATCTGTGGTGGTTATTATGTTCCCTCTCTCTTGTGATATCCGTGTAGTCTCACAACTTACTTCTATGCCCCCCTTATCCATTCATTATTATTGTAATAGGGCGACGAAGAGCTTCCGTTCAATTTCATTTCTGGAGCGGAACTCATCCCCGCCTGGGGACCTCGTTTGCAAGCACTGCACGGAGCCTTTGTCGCCGCCTATGGTCGCTCCAATAACAGCATGCAGGCGGCCATTGGATACCCTCCTCCCGAATCGGCCGAAATGGTCTTGCGGTATATGAATGTGGCCACCAATCAAATCTCGCAACGATTCAATTGTTTGGCCGTGACGTTGGAAATGCCGTTCAAAGATTGTCTCACCACATCGGATCCCGACGTGGGATGGAACCCCGCGCAGAGTCGCAAGTTGGGTGCTACCGTCTTGGAAGCATTGGTGCAAGTCCATCCCTTGTTGCGAGACGAATCGGAATTCTGGAAGACATTGCCCGCCGAGGATGCCTACGTGACAACGACGGATGATTACGAGAGTCAAATGACGTCGGCCGACAAGGATGAACCCCAATTCAAGATGCTCAAGAAACGTTTCTATTCCGATGTTCACGAGATTCACAAACAGAGTGCCGCCAACAATTAGATCCATCTCAAATATTTATTGGCTATTTGTCATGGTGCCTGCCTCTTTGGTGCAGTTTGTCGATGCCAAGCAGCAAAGGAAAAAGCAAGGCTCCTTGGTTCTTTAGAAATACAGTTGAAAATGAATGAATGAATGAATGAATGAATGAATGAATGAATGAATGAATGAATGAATGAATGAATGAATGAATGAAAGCACGCAAGAAATACTAGAGACGTTGATTTTATTAAAACGAAGCACCAAAGCCTTAGGTTGACCCGACACATCTTTTAGAAATGTAAAGAGGAGGATAAAGGCAAACGGCCAGGTGCATGTTCAGGTTTCTTCGTCTCGAAAGTTGGATCATAGACGAGCGAGGCAAACCAGTGAAGACATGTTGGCTTCAAGATGGATTGGGGGCGGAACTGAAGAAGTGGCTGATATATCTCGCGGAACTGAAGAAGTGGCTGATACATCTCGATCTAGAAACATTTATCCTATCTAATAGCTAGTCCCAGCATCAATGCTGCTGAATATAAACTCTTCATTCTTCCACACATACATTTTCGGTCGCAACCTGAGCAATCTTTTTTGCCTAGGCGAGCGCTTGCATGAACCACTCTCCACTGCCATGATTCACTTGATTGTGGTCGACCAAAGTGCTAGCTTGCTTGCAACCCTTGTTTGCATGAGAGAACCACTCCACCAGCTCCCGACTGACTCCAACACTTCCTGTTGGGTTGGCATTCCCTTTTGGCTCCAGACAAAAGCTGTCCAAAGATGCAAGCGAAGGAGCCATGCGAGGCACGTCCGGAATGATTCCAGCATCCATCGACATTGCAAGAGGACTTTTCCCTGCCGTTGGGTTGGCATTGCCTTTTGGTCCAAGACAAAAGCTTTCCAAAGACTCAAGCGAAGGAGCCATGCGAGGAACGTCCGGAACGATTCCAGCATCCATAGACACTGCGATAGGGCTTTTCCCTGCCTTGATTTGAAGTCCCTCCAATGACATGGGGTCTTGGTTCAGAACAGCACCAAACCAGTCATGCTCACGAAAAATAGATGGAGTTGCTTTCTCGGAAAGATCAACTGGTTCCAAGTGATACGCCTGCAAAGACTGAAAAGAGGGTGCAGCAGGAGGGACAACAGGACGAAGACCATGATACACTGACTTTGGGTGGATGGGGGAGGAATCCTTGCCTGCACCAAGCCCTTTCAACAAATCAGGACCCTCATGTAGGGCTTCACTGAACCAATCATGCTCGCGGTGCATTGGGTCGACGGCGCCTGGTAGTTCAATCTGATCCATTGAATTGAGCTGCTGCGACACCCATGCGTCATCAGCAGGACGACTTTTCTGAGGCTGAGCTGCGTTCTCGACAGCGTCATCCAAAGTCGAGTAGACCAAGGTCTGCTTCTTCAACGTGGAACCAAGAAACGCAAAGGCACTTGTTGTTGCCAATAATACAGAGATCAATGCGGTTGAAAAAAGGAGCTTCATGGTGAGACTTTTTAGTTGCAACTGGAATTGTGAGTCTTTTTGCAAGAGGGAGATCAAAGGATCGTTGTCATCTACTAGTATCTCCAGGTGGAGTGGATCGAATGATTTGTGAGTTGGAGATCGTCGAAAATCTATCTATCTCCAGCTGGAAGAGGGTCGAATTTGTGAGATCCTCTTCCTTGACAGAAACTAGAGAAGCGCTCGATCATCTCATTGTTATGGGGAAGCAACTTGGGAAGCCTTTCAAGAAAGCTTCAACGTGACAGCATCCCGTCAGGTAGAAACCTTACGGAAAACGAAGTAGCACGCCAGCCTATTGTTTTGGTGCAATTGCATTATCCACGTTTGATTGTCATCTGATCTCTCTGGATCCAGCTAGAAAGAATCCGGCCTCCTCCATTCGATTGGAATTCAATCACAGGAGCATCAGTCGAGGACGGAGCCTCGTGCGGGATACAGACTCGGTCGTCATGGGGATAGATTGATTGGGCCGTGGAATGATGCCATCAGTGATGGCTCCGAGTACCTGAAGGCGGTGTCAACCCGAAGGGCGTCACAGGTCGGAGTGCAACTCTGTTGATCCTCTCCAAGAACGAACCCTGGTGGCTAGGAATGGTTGATTGAATCAATCGAATCGCTAACTCTATCGTTGTTTGACTTTCCCCCCTGGCTAGCTAGACCGGAGGGAACGGTTTTGGGTCTACGCAGGAGTTGTACAGTACACACATTCTTTGTCCATGACCTGCAGTTGTTTCGCTCGGTTGTTTTGATGTGCCTATGAGGACAAGGGAAACATGGGCCCTGTTTTCATTCATTGCCTGCCTGCCATGATTGTTGCTTCCTCATGAGCAATCGTCAGCTTGGGCACTCATTGATGATGAAGCTGCACCTTACATACAAACCAATAATCAGGGACATACCGGTACTGAGAATTGCCTGTCCAGCTTCAAGTTCAGCCAGCACGAAGCGGTCTGCATAAAGGACAGACTGCCGTAGTAGGCTAGTGTTCTTTTCGTGCTTTATTAGTTAGAAGCACACCAACACAACATAATATGTAGCAGTCCGTAAAGCAATGTGGGCAAGAAACATGCATGGTTCTAAAGGCCATGGTTGCAGTCGTTATGATGTTGTAGAACTTCACCTTAACCTTCAAGCGCTACCTAGAGTAGGAACTTCGTTCTCGAAGTCATTCACGGAAGTTGCGTCATCATTCGAGTCATTGGTAAGATTTAACAACAGTTGCCTTTCTGAAAATCCGATTATCACATGTTCGCATGACTTCTCGGCAGCTGGTACACCTACACCTATTTGCACAGTGAATTACCACGTAGTATCAAATGATTTATCATACGATTTTAGCAATTACGACTGTATGCAATTATTGTAGAAGTGATGCAGAACCAGGTTACAGTACCAGTGAGAGAACTTTCGATTCTTTCCAACGATGGGAGCTTTCACCTTATGTGATAAATGTCCTACTCCCCTTTGACGTGCAAAATTTCCGGAATCAGCCTTCCCATTTCCGAGAAAAATGTCCCTCCCTTGACCATTAACCATTAATCTTTGCTCATCAGGTGAGAGGTTTCCCACTGCCACCACAATACGTACCGTGCAGAGCAAGTTTCTCATCGCTCCCTTCCATAACCTTCAGACGATCAATCAAGCATCAAGAGCCCATCATTACCACTACCAACACCATAACCATGACGGAAAGCAACTTTGACACTGATGATCATAGCCACATGGATTCCATTATCCATGAGAACGGTACCATCCTGACCAAGGAGAAACAGGAAGCGATCGCAAAGAAGGAAAGCCAATGGATCTTCTTGATGAGAATGCTGGTCCTGGTGGTGCTGGTTTGCTCTGCTATTGCTGTGATTGTGTTCACCTACCTTTACATGAGCCAAGAAGAGCAGGAAGAGTTTGAAGATCGATTTGACAGTGATTCGGCCAAGGTCATTGAAGCCATTGGCAAGACAATGGATCAGACTTTGGGTTCTCTGGATGGTTTCGTGACGGATGCAATCGCCCATGCCAGATCTACCAACCAGTCTTGGCCATTTGTGACCATACCTTTTCTTCCAGTCAAATGTGGAAAGGTCATGAAGTTGACCAAAATCTTTGGCTGTTTTGCCAATATCTTTGTCAATCCAGAGGTACGTTCAGTTCCGTCACTGGGTGCTGTGTAGCCGATTTGAGGTCTTACTCCGGCATTGATCTCACTTTAGCAAATGGATGAATGGCAACGTTTTGTTTCTGAAAACTTGGAATGGATAGAGGAAGGGAAAGCTGTCCAGGCCAAAGACCCAGAGTGGATCCATCCATCAGATTTTGACCTGAACGTTTCATACGAGGTTTTTGGATATTTAGGAGCTGTGAACCACTCACAGCCCACCGAGTACTTCAACAACTGTAAGTATACAGTACTCCTATTTCTGTGCCATTTGCTGTTGTTGTTCCTTCACTAATACAAATTTCATATGTATCAAAAAGTTGCCCCTGTTTGGCAGCAATACCCCATTACTCCTTGGCTTGCCACCAACTGGGATGATTTACAGGATCCAGCATATGGACTGCCAGTGGTTGATGCTGTGGAAAATAGACGAGTGGGAATGATTCCTTCATTCAACGTTGTCCGAGATCCTGACGATGAGGCGAATGTAGCGACCGCAACTTTCTGGAAAGGATGGGCTGAACAGTACATTGGTCCTGGTGACGATCCATCAGAACCCATATCTTCTATTCTCTATCCCATGTATGACACCTTGGAGTCCATCTACACAGAGCCGGAAGAATGTGAAATGCCTGTGGGTATGATGCAAGTTACAGTCTTCTTCAAGGTGAGTGGCCTGGGTTTGAAGGGTTTCTGCTATCCCCTTCGACATGCGTACATTCACCATCTCACTTAACCAATTATATATATGCTTGATCCATACAAAGGATACTATTCGTGACATTCTTCCGTCAGATTCTCAAGGGATTATTGTCGTCTTCTCAAGTACCACCAAGTGTTCGGCCACATTCACCTATCGCATTGATGGGCCCATGACAACCTATCTAGGATCCGGAGATCACCATGATCCTGCTTATGATGGCTTTCGCAAGTATGTCACTTTGAATGAAATCATGAAGACTACCAAAGAATCTGGAGAGGGAACCACTTATACCGGACTGCCCTTGGCAGATTCCTACTGTGTAAACACCATTGAGGTGTATCCCTCCAAAGAGATGGAGGACAAGTATATGACGAGTGACCCTTTGGTCTTTACCATTGTTGCAGCTTGTATCTTTCTCTTTACATCTCTTGTCTTCATTCTTTATGATTGCATTGTTTCCCGCCGGCAACGCATTGTCATGCAACGGGCCTTGGCATCTGGAGCCATTGTTTCTTCCCTCTTTCCTGAGAACGTCAAAAAGCAGCTATACGAAGAGCGTGAAGAAGAACAAAAGAAGGAACAGAGACTCAAGACCTTTGCCAATCCTGCTGGGGCAGGTCGTGCCTCACTCATTTCCTTCACTCAAGGAAATGATTTTGGCACTGTTTTGGCCAAGTCCTCCAAACCCATTGCGGATCTATTCGACAATACTACCGTGTTTTTTGCTGATCTTGCTGGTGAGTAGTTGTCACAAAACAAGCCATCTTGGCTGTCACTTGGTATTCGGGGGTCTCATCCAATTGCTGTCATGACTGGTGTCATTTGGTAGGTTTCACAAGCTGGTCTGCGAAGAGAACTCCAGTGGAGGTGTTTGAGTTGCTTGAAACCATTTATGGAGCTTTTGACAAGGTTGCTGTTAGGCGAAATGTCTTCAAGGTAGAAACGGTAAGGCCGTTTGCAATTTCCTGGCTGAAGCGCTCATGTGTCCATGCTGACAAGATTTCGTCTCCATGTTTGCGTTCTACAGGTTGGAGACTGCTATGTTGCTGTGACAGGTGAGTGTTCTTCCTTGGCTGCATTGACTGCAATGAAGATGCTGCTTTGTGACTCATGTTCATTCTCCATCTGCTGTTGATAGGTATCCCTCAACCCCAGAGGAACCATGCAACAATCATGGTTAGGTCAGTATCCATGTTAGAAGAGTCATTGCCAAATTTTCTAATGAGTGCATTCATGTGATTGAATCAGCTACAATTACAATCTAAACTGACTTGACTGCCTGCTCTTTTTCTCAACATTCATGGCTATAGGTTCGCTCAAGAGTGCATGACAGAAATGAACCAACTAACCGTGGAATTGGCCTCAACCCTTGGAGATGATACCAAAGACCTTCAGATGAGGGTTGGCCTTCATTCTGGATCAACAACAGCAGGAGTTCTTCGAGGAGACAAAGGAAGGTTCCAGTTGTTTGGAGATACTGTCAATACTGCGTCACGCATGGAGAGTAACGGCGTCAAAGGCCGCATCCACGTATCCCAGGCAACAGCTGATGCCATAACTGCTGCTGGCAAAGGTCGCTGGTTGACTGCCAGAGAAGACAAAATTGTTGCCAAAGGAAAAGGTGAAATGCAAACCTACTTTGTTGGCATCGTTGCTGGATCCACAAGAACAGGTATTCAGTCCATGCGGTCATCCGATCAGATGTCGTCTTTCAAAGATGAGGGTGGGGATGAGCATGTTGCGGCAAGGGACTTCCAGGACCCTTCTGAGATTTCTCTCTAGCCCCGCAGCTGATTGGTTTCACCAAAGTCTTCGTTATGTGTTTGGAAAGTATTGGTCTGTTTTTCATGTGGAGGCGTTCACTTCGTAGGCACATCCGAGTCTCGCCTTGTCTACCCCCCTCATAGGAGCGATGCTAGAGACGGGATTTGCAAACATTTGTTCTCCGGGCTTTGTACATTTACCATTCCTTCAACCTTAAGAAACAGCTTGCAATAATGCAATTTTCACGCTGAGGGAAGCAAGTGGAGAATCTGTGGTCGTCGTCCGTGATGATACTAGGATTCATTTTCGTTCTCTCGCAGGTCAAGTTCCCTGTCTTTCCATTGCCCTCATCGCCCACCCAGAGTGTTGACCTTCCGAATCCCAGCGAACGTTTCGGTGGGGACAAAGGTACGGGAGGCCGGGTGGATGTGGTACTCTTACAGGATCTTTCCGAGCCAACAGCGTGGTTCGTTGATGTTTCAACCGTTGCTCTGAACTTGCCAAGCTGCATGGATGCGGAACCAAGCAATATGGGGGTTTGGAATAATTGTGCGCGAATCATGACTGTCGAGCGTTGTTTTGTGCGTGTTGCAAGCAACGGTAATGGATCATTATCCACGCACGTTTGCTTGTATCGCAACACAACTTTTGGATTGAACGGCAATGCAACACCAGGAGGTGGCTTCTGGGGCCTGTTCCGATCTCACATCATTGCGAGTAACCAGCCACATCAGATCTATTCGGCACGTGCAGCCTCCGAGGTGGTTGCCGTGGTGGTGACCGCCAACAGCGTTCGATCTTTCCGAGCCAACAGCGTTCGACCTGAAGCGGTGATGTTTCAACCGTCGTTGCTCGAGACTTGCCAATTAGCAAGCAGAACGAATTCAGCCAAATCGGGCTTTTGGAGGAGGAATCTTGCGCGAATCATGGTGTGGAGCTTGTTTTGTGCTGGGAAGAAAGCCAAACCCTTTGGCCTTGAGTACCGGTAGGTCCCGATTTATCTCCCCTAATCCCACCGAACCTAGCTAGAGACTAGTCCCGAATTCGGACTCTTCTTTGCCTAAACTTGGCCCTCCCTGACTTCAGTATACATAGATAACATAACCTCAATACTCTACAACCCTTATCGTGATCATTGGTTTGGAACGGCATCGTGCTCTCTCCCTGCACCCCCTCCTCACCATAGTTCCCTCGAAGCCATAGATAGTAACCATTCAAGTTTATGGGGTAAAGCTCGAAACTGAAGGTTGTCCTGCTCGTGACTGAAAAAGTTGAAGTTTTGCACTGACGTAGGTTGTGGGTATCTCAGACCTTGACCATGACATATCCCCCCAAAGTGTGGCTGATCTTCTCTGTCAAACGCCATTGCCATCACTCGCCAAGTCACGCAAGAGATAAACAAAGGAAGGAAGGAAGAAAGCTGAAGAAAGAAAGATGATGAGTGGAGTACGACGAGCCACGATCCTGATATCCACTCTGCTGGTTGCCTTTCTGGGCCAACACTGTGCCGTTGCCTTTGCCCCTGCCACCAGTCTCATTAACAAACCTACACAACTACGAGCACGGCCTCTGTTTGAGACTGCCAATAATCCCAAGTTGGCTCCCGGTGACACACTCCCGAACGAGCTGCCTCAGATTCCGTTTGTGACCAAGACCGTGCCATCGGATCGATCGCAAGATTTGCAAATTGGAGAAGATTGCGGTGTCTTTGACATTCAACAAGAAAACTGGGGAAGTTTGGGCGATCGAGGATGGTATACGTTTTGTGCCGCCGTGGCCACCATTCTTACGGCCGTGGCCGTCCTCTGGGTATATCCTCCCACGGGCTATGCCGATGACTTTACAGCTGGTTTGGAATCGATCGCGGGCGGCAATCCTCATATTGTCACACTGCTCTTTGGCATCATCTTTCCCATTGTCCATTCGGGATTGGCATCCTTACGACCGTACGGAGAACAAGTGGTGGGAGCGCGAATGTGGAGAGTCATTTTTGCCTTTCCCAGTTTGTGCCTCTCCTACAGTTGGATCGCCTACTTTATTGCCCATGTGCACGATGGATACACATTCTACGATTTGAGCCATAATCCGGCGGCTCATACCATTGCGTGGTTGATCAATTTTGCCAGCTTTTTCTTTCTCTACCCATCGGTCTTTAATTTAAAAGAAGTGGCCGCCGTCGAAATACCCAAAATTCATTTATGGGAAACGGGCATGATTCGGATTACACGACACCCGCAGTTTGTTGGACAAGTCATGTGGAGTGCCGCACATTTGGCCATGGTCGGGACCACCTTTACGGCATTGACCATGGCACTCTTGGTCGGTCATCATGCATTTGCCTGTTGGAATGGAGATCGACGATTGTATCAAGAGCACGGAGAGGATTTTCTAAAGGTCAAGGAGCGAACCAGTATCGTGCCCTTTCAAGCCATTCTGGAAGGACGACAAGTCCTGCCCAAGGATGTGTACAAGGAATTCTTGAGAGGGCCCTATGCTGTTATCGCCGTGTTCACCTTGGGAGCCTACTTTGCTCATCCCTACATGCAAGGTGGAGCTGCCTTGGTCAAGAATACTGGTCTGGTACAGGGTGGGATCTTGGATGGTCTATTTTCGTAAGAATCAAGAGACAATGGTCCCGTTCCATCCGACAAAATCTATAGCTAAGCAGTCACTGGAAACGAAGCGTACTATGTATCTTTCATACTTATATATAAAGTAGTTTGCTTTAGGTACGGTAGTCCATGATGAATAGCATCCGTAAAAAACTCCACCAGGTTCAAAACTTGCACCATCAAAATATAGGTCTGACGTGCGTGTTCGCAATGACATTAGCAGGATCGGAATAAGCTTTAGAAGCCACTTGATGCTGTTGGGTTGAGTTGTGAACAATATGCAAGCGTGGATGGAGATTCATCATTGTTGCGTCCAACACGAAACCACGCCATCGTTGCTCCCAACACGAAACGACGAGCCCGACAGCTATGATTCGCACGGTAACGTTCGCTGTCGAGACTCCGGGACGGCGATGTGGGCCATTGATAGCCAGGAAGCGCGAGCTGCAAGAGAAGGAAATTGAACCCTACTATCTTCACGGGCGACGATAGCACCCATCGCTGGGCCATGACAGACTATGATTTTGTTCGTTTTAAATGAAGTATTCTTGAGTCGAGCCGGTCTCCTGGCATTGCTCCTACCGGTACAGTGTATGAGGGGGGAAGGCAAGGCAAAACTTGGAAGTTGCCAAGTGAAAGCATCCACGTAAAAGAACAGAACTTTCCAAAAACGAATACGAAGACATTAAATCCCTAGCCCCGTAGCTAGAGAGAACCCTCAGAAGGGTCCTGATGGAAGTCATCACCAGCTTGATCCTTTGCCGCGTCATCCTCATTCTCACCCTCATATTGAAAGACGACATCTGATCAGATGACCGCATGGAATGGGTACCTGTTCTGGTGGATTCAGCAACAATGCGAACAAAGCAGGTTTGCATTTCACCTTTTCCTTTGGCAACAATTTTGTCTTCTCTGGCAGTCAACCAGTGACCTTTGCCAGCAGCAGTTATGGCATCAGCTGTTGCCTGGGATACGTGGATGCGGCCTTTGACGCCGTTACTCTCCATGCATGACGCAGTATTGACAGTATCTCCAAACAACTGGAACCTTCCTTTGTCTCCTCGAAGAACTCCTGCTGTTGTTGATCCAGAATGAAGGCCAACCCTCATCTGAAGGTCTTTGGTATCATCTCCAAGGGTTGAGGCCAATTCCACGGTTAGTTGGTTCATTTCTGTCATGCACTCTTGAGCGAACCTATAGCCATGAATGTTGAGAAAAAGAGCAGGCATTTGAGTCAGTTAAAGACAGTAGCTGATTCAATCCCATGAATGCACTCATCCGAAAATTTGGCAATAACTCTTCTAACATGGCTTCGTACTGACCTAACCATGATTGTTGCATGGTTCCTCTGGGGTTGAGGGATACCTATCAACAGCAGATGGAGAATGGACATGAGTCACAAAGCAGCATCTTCATTGCAGTCAATGCAGCCAAGGAAGAACACTCACCTGTCACAGCTACATAGCAGTCCCCAATCTGTAAAAGACAAACATAACGAAATCTTGTAAGCGTGGACTCATTATGCAGTGCAGATATGGAGCAGTTAGCATAGTTCGTTCTTCCGATCGGGAGACGGAAGATCACTCTGGACATAGTTTGTTTTCGCTGAGCTTCAACCTGCCGCGACGGCATACTCTGAGGTACGGTAGTATTGGCACTCAGCTGCAACGACTAGCTAGCCAGCCAAATACCAGAAACCAGTGTTGCAACTTGAATTATGTGATTGTGGCCACTACTGACAGTCGCAGTTAGAACTAATACATGTACACTCCACAGGAAAAGGATCTGGGTCACAGTCAACAACAATTTTTAAATCCAAGCTGGAACAGGAACTGCTTGGGACACTTCCGGAGAAGTGGTTGTCATACAAATACAAATCTTTTAGCATTGTCAGCAATCCCAGCTCGGATGGAATTGTGCCTGACAGGTTGTTGCGAGACAAACTCAAGAAGAATAAGTTCATCAGCAAACCAATTTCAGATGGGAGGCTGCCAGATAGTTGGTTGGTAGTGATCCACAGTGCTTTCAGACTGGACATCGAGCCAATTTCTGTAGGAATGCTACCAGAAAATGCATTGCCACCCAACTGCATTTTGGTCACACTTGTCAGCAACCCCAGTTCGGATGG